ACACTAGGTGGCATCCAGGGTCAGGATGGAAGTGGTAACAGGCCAATGTTATTTTAGCTTCTGTGCTAGAAGCAACTCTTCCTCTGGATTCTACATAGTATTAAAAGAGTAAGGGATGCAGTTGCTTTAAGTGATCAAAATGCTCTTTGTTGGAATGGACGTAGAGGTGAAGAGATAAGGAAAATGTTCATGCGATAGCTACAGAGCAGACTGCAAGTTGGAAAGATGAAGGCTGAGAAATTTTAAGTGTAAGATAATGGTGTTGAGGTGAACCCATACATAGCCTTATTGTCTAGATGAGGAGAGGGAGCCTGTGTCAAGAAAATTTAGGATAAAGAAAAAGGGCTGTTCTGCAGATGCAGTACATAGATGGGACGCTACCTTTCATAGTTGGGGGACTGTGAAATAAATTTAACAGATTTAGCTATGTTTAATGGATGATGGAGCTGTAAGAGACATCATCTCTCTTATCTATCTTCTAAATGGAGCTAGATGAGCCACTGCCTAAGCCAATAATGAAAATGTTGGCAGGTAGTATTAATTACCAGCAAAAAAAAAATTTGTCCTACCATAATGAGTATGCAGGCTGGTGGGCAACGTTCAAAATGATTTGAAACGTAAAATAAAGCTGGTAATCTATACAATTACACTTACAATGAAAACAACTTTTCAAATAGCATTTGAAGTTCCAGTTCTTGACAGAAACTGACTTCTGCTTATCTGTGGCAGGTTGGAAGAACTATTGTAGAAAGAAATAGACTGTCCTCAGACATACAGGTATCGCTGCAAGTGAAGAACATTGTTTACACATCTACCTGACAACACTCTTAGCTTGGCACTCTTCTGTTCCACATTTGAGGTTGAACTGCCTTTTTTGTTGTTTGTAGACCTAAGGGGAAACACCATATCCACACGCCTAATTTATAATCTTAATTCTATTCAGTGATTTACTCATTAAAATCTTATTGTCAGTCTTTCAGCTTTGGCAGGATTCCTGGCGACTTCAGTTACCATATGCAACTTTTTAATGAAATACTTCTTCATTTAAATCCAGAAAAAAATAGACTTTTCACAGGAAAGGCAGGTGCTCAGTTAACAATCATCCTTTGCAAATTTTCAGGTTGAGTATTTTATGTAATCCTTCGAACATATATGTTGTGAAGGGACTGGGATGGATTGGCATTATCCATGATGGTAAATTGAAGTAAAAACCATTTTTTAACGTTAATAACTTTGTATAAAGCCTCAATGAACTGCGCTAATAAGAAAATTTTCAAATATAAAAACTAAATATCAAAATCAATAAAACTGTATTGTTTTAATGCCTTAATAAACTAATAAGTCTGAGAATTTTATATAGGACCTTGCTTTAGTTGTTCCCAGTCTTTTCGACTTAATGGAGTTTTTTTTAAAAAGCGGGGACCAATATAGGGCTGCCAACTTTTCATTTTGCCAAGTAAAGATATTTAAAGCAACTAACAAATACTACCATCAACATTTCATAAAAGGATATTTCAATATTGCAAAAGGTGGGATAATCTTATAAAAATTAAATTTGAATTAATACCTATCAGTGTTTTTTTTTTTTCCTTTATGGATGCTGAAAATTTAGCCTTGGCCTAGAATTTGGGAACCGCTGCTTAAAACGCCATTCAGTCCAACTACTTCGATTAAAAGGCAGAGAGGTGAGTGCTTTTGCCTAAAATCAGTTAGTGTTAAAATCAGGGGGAGAGAGAGCATAGCTTCTGACAACTACTAGAGTAACACAGCCTCACAGAAACCCAAGCACTAAACATGTTGCTAATTAGGAAACTTAATTGATGTTTATATTAAAACAAAACCAAGATCCTTCAAAACTAATGCAGAATCAAATAAATCAACCTACTTTGTAGTATAAAGGCTTGGCATACATGACTGTCCCTGTTATGATTTGTCAAACAAAGTAACACCAAATCATAAATTATATAACTTATGTAACAAATGATATAATCTAAACTGTGAACTTTTAATTCTTCAAAATGTTTCATTCTCAATTACATAATCTATAGAAGATGCCTAATAAATGTCTGTTACACAAATGGGTGAATGTCACTCTAAATTACTGCAAAATAAGTTTCTTCCTCACATAGAAACTTCTCAACCTAGCACAAAATCTTATTTTAGAAATCACTGGAACATAAATGATACAGAGGAAAAAACAGGTTGTGGTGGTGTGGGGGAGCTCCACTTGCCTGACTTCTCAAAAAGTGAAAAAGCAATTCCAAGCTTTCGAGTGCTTCAATGAAAACAGTAACTGTACACACTGACTTCTACATGAAAACATCTCACATTAACTTAACCACACCCACTTTACTTTTCAGGTTAACTAAGTAACATGGAAAAGTTTTAATATCCAAAGAAATTCTAGTTCAAGCACATGTAATAAAATTTTACCATGCTCCTAAAAATGAATTTACCTAATTATTTTGGACTATCGAAATGCTATGGTACATCTGCATTTAACAGTAAGGTGATCATTTCCAATTTCACCATAAACACGCCCCCCCACATAATCCTGTACCTCTAAAAAATAACAGTTGAGAATTGGCACTAGGTTTTTTCCCCCTCCACTAATTCTAAAAATGCATGCATGACATAATTTGAAATTCAAAATTAAGAAAACAGTATGGTGAGTTAAAACAATGTCCCTTTATCAGATACTTAGGGAGTTCATGGAATTTTCTTTGAAACAATATTTTTAAAGCATGATGCTTCTTTTGCTGATCCATTCATACTTACTTTGAAAAGGGGGGGGGGGCCAGCCAAGTGGCTCAGTTGCTCGAGTGCGAGCTCTGAGTAACAGCGGTTCAAGTCCCGGCCCGAGCTGAGCTGCCGTTGAGCTGCCAACAGGTGGCAGGATGGCT